GAACAGCAGCTACCTGCAAGGTAGTGAGAGTGAGGCCTCACTGGGGTGGGTGGGTGGGAGATCTCACAGACTTTCCTTGCTCACACTTAAGAATCTTTTTCTTACATTATGGAAGCTAGGATTAGCAAAAGTAGAATGCTCCTTCGAAAGCTCCCCTGGGGCCTTTCCTTGAAGCATGGGATGAGGAGGGAGCACTCCCAGCTGAACCAGGGATGGAAAAAAAAAATAAGCTGTTAAGTTTTTGATGCCTGGTTTAAAACGGGGAAAGATTCAGCTGGTGAGTTACTCCAGAACTTTTGACTGCTATAAGCTGAGAGATTTAAGGTCAGTCCCGCAGACAACAACCCCAAACAGACTATGGGCATTTCTGGAACGAATGAGCTGATCCTTTAAGTGAATTTGAGTGTCTGTCAGCATCTTTCCCCTTCCAGAAGCTGCCAGTCAGGATCGAAGGCTGGCAGCACCAGCCTTTCACCCCCCTGGAGAAGGGTCATTCCTAGATTTGATGAAGACCTTGGAGCAGCTATAGACCCCTTTCAAGCCATATTTAGAGGTGATCACCCAATTTGGGAAGATGTAGCTGACTTAATGACAACCCTACTCTCCGTGGGAGAAAAAACAAGCCATTACAGAAACAACAAATAGGTTGGCTCCCGTGGAGGGGCCGGAGACCACCCCAGGATCTCCCTAGTTGGCCTTGACAAGACCCACATGGAACCCTCCTCCCCAGGCCTGGAGCAGGCTAGGCAGGGTTTAAAGGACCATGGAGCATGTCTGGGGAACTGGAATGAGTTCCAGGAGACAATGCAAGAGGAAGGTGAGAACCCAGATCATTGTTAGGATGGGCTGTGCAAAAGTGGTAAAATGTATGTGAGATTAGACCCCATCATCCCACAAGATGCAGGCTTATTAGCAATCAGTCATCACCAGAAGTGTGGCATGGGATGCCGAGAGGTCGGCTATCCTGGCCTCAGTGCAGGAAGGAAACAGACCCTCAGAATCAAAGGTGGAATGGATCTAAGCATTCCCAGAGGAACAGCGATGCATGAAGGTGAGGGAGAGACACAGAACCTGAGTCCAAACTCATTATCCACATTCCTCTCCCCAGAACAGTGGACCCCAGATTACCCTAAATGTTGGGGACACATTTGTCCCTAAAGCAGTCCTACTAACCTCGGCTGGGTCTCTGTTGGACTTCCAGAGAAACCTCAGTATCTTTCTAAACTGTCCCCTAGCATGGCTTCCATGGGTCTCCTGAACCCTACGAAAACTCGGGGCTACATTCTGTGCTTCCCTCCTAGTACTTAACACCAGGACCATGCGTTTTGAGCTACCGAAGTCGCCTTTAATCAAGGTTTCTCTGTAGTGGCCTTGAAGGCAAACTGTCTAGAATGTCAGCAGTGACCACTGTAAAAAGCTCTCTGTGAGAAATGGTAAGAATTGAGAAATGCAGCTGTCTGGATTTGGAAATGCTGGAATATTGACTGTCTCCAGATTCTGAGCAAAGCAAACAACAACAAAAAGTTAAAATACAGTTTAATGTGAAAAAATGCTTCCAAGTGACTTTTGTCAAGACGTTACAGCCCTTCTTAGAGCAGCCCAGGCTTTCGTAAGCGTAGGACTGGGAGCACCCCCTGCCCTGAGGTTACGGTGTAGACCGAGGTCCTCCCCACCCCCTTTTGTGACGACCAAGAACTGCTAGATGTCTTTGGAGGGAGTGGGACTGGGAGCCTGCAGCTCAGCTCTCAGATTGTCAAACTGATTCAAGGGAGGGAGAGTCACCTGGCCCAGGTAAACTGAGTTGACATGACAGTTGAGGAGAGTTAAGTAAGCTATGGCATGGACTAGCATCTTCAAATTGTAGAGTCTGGGATGGAGCAGGTAAGAGAAAGCCAGAGAAAAGGTCTAGGGACGTTGCGTCCTGGGGCCTCACTCTCTGGGCCAGGACCAGCTGGAGCGAGGTCAGCCTCCCAAAGCTGAGCCACAAAGTTCTGGGATTTTTAACATTGCCATGAAAAGTGATAAAAGCCAGACCTGATGTGGTTGGTGCGTGTCCTGGACCTAACTCAGAATGTGGTCCATGTGTGCTCCCTCTGAGGATAATTGGGATAGATCAGAACTTAGTCCAGGAGGGCCACTTTTAAATTTTTGGCAGATTAGCTGGTAAACCAAATAAAATAAAAATTGATTCAGCATGATACCATTCGGGGAGTGGGGGGGCTAGGGGGTGCCATAGTGCACAGAATGCCAGACCTGGAATCGGGAAGACTTCTCTCTCTGAGTTCTAATCTGGCCTCAGACACTTCCTAGCTGGGTGACCCTGGGCAAATCACTTCACCCTGTTTGCCTCAGTTTCCTGTTCTATAAAATGAGCTGAATACGGAAATGGCAAGCCACTCTAGTATCTTTGCCAAGAAAACCCAAAATAGGGTCACAGAGAGTCAGACACAACTAGGACTGAAACAACATATCATTTGTAAAAATACATCCAGATATGGACTTTATTCTGGTCTCAATTTAATGCTCCCCTATAAGTTAGAATTTACTCTACTGTTTGGCATTAAGATGAGATGTTGGGAAAATGCGTGGGCCAAGAAACAATGTTATACACTCTGATCTCAGGAAACTCAATGGCTGGGTGACCTGAAAAACCAGGTGTTTTATCTTGAGCTTTCCTAATCTGTTGCAAAGGGCCTAGCAGAAATGAGACAATTCATTCTACTAGAAACATTGCTAGAAAAGCCAACTTTTTACTTGTATGGGCTGATGCAGAGTGAGGTGAGCAGGACCAGGAGAACGCTGCACACAGTAACAGCCACGTTGTGTGATGATAGACTCAGCCCTTCTCAGCAATGCAGGGATCGAAGACATCTCCAGAGGCCTCATGATGGAAAATGCTCTCCACATCCGGAGAAAGGACTACAGAGTCTGCACCCAGATCGAAACATCTGGTGGTTCCTTCTATTGGTTCTAATTCTTCCTTACCACATCACTAATGTGAAAACTTTTAATAGAAATGTATATGTGTAGTGTATATCAGACTGCACACCATCTTGGGGAGGGAGGCGGGAAGGGAAAGGGAGAAAATTTAAAACTCAAAAGCTTATGGAAGTGATTGTTGATAAACTAAAAAAAAAGCCAGTGTTTTTGATCTTCTTGGATTATAAGTTTGGTTGTTAAGACTGATGTAAATATGTTTAAAACGATTTATTTAAGGGGCAGCTAGGTGGCGCAGTGGATAGACCACCGGCCCTGAAGTCAGGAGAACCTGAGTTCAAATGCGGCCTCAGACCCAACACTTGACACTTACTAGCTGTGTGACCTTGGGCAAGTCACTTAACCCCAATTGCCTAAAAGCCAAAAAAAAAAACCCCAAAAAATGATTTATTTAGAAGTATGACAGAATGGCAGTAATCATCTGTGAATCTGGGGTAGTGGGGATCCCTTAAACCGCCCTTACTGTGAAGAGCAGAGCCCCGAGAGCTTGCCAACCCCAGGAACAACACACAAGAGGCCCCATCGAAGGGCCTGAAGCCTCAGCTGAGCCCACCCACTCTTCCCAGCTTGGCCCACACCCCGCATCAAGCACTGGGCCTGGCTACTATGATTCTGTTGGGACACCTTCACAGCTTCCTTCCCTCCTGCAAACTGGAAATCCCTGCATGAGCTCTGTGTGTTGGGTGAAAATTCTCAAGGACCAGCCCTGCCCTGCCCCCTTCAGACAAACCCCGAGGGCCTTTCGATCCTGTGGTTGTCACTTTTTGTTTGGTCCCACTCTTCCTGACCCTTTTTTTTTTCCCCGTTTCCTTCCCCAGCTCATTTTACAGATGAGGCAAACAGGGTGAAGTGACTTGCCCAGGGTCACCCAGCTAGGAAGTGCCTGAGACCACATTTGAACTTGGGTCTTCCTGACTGCAGGCACAACATTCTATACCACCTGCTTGGGCCAAAAAACCTAGTACCCTCGTAGCCCTCAGCGATGACCTCATATTTGGCCTAGCACACTTTGAGCTGGCCTGGTACCAACATCTGGGTAGAGCCTTGTCGATACTTCCTCGTACCGTCAACGTAAAATGAAGCACGCTCATGCTGGCAAACTTGCTAATGCCAACTGTGTCAGAAAAAGCCCTATGTGACAGGGATCGTGAGCACGGCTGTTACAAAGTGGCGGCTGTCTGAAGCATGTTTACAGGATTCTAACTACACACGCGCTGTCTGCGACACGGTCAGAGGTTCCCCAGGTCTATGCTGACTAACTAGCCCTGTCCAGAAGCTAGGTTCCACACAAGGGGAGGGCAGCCTGGCCTTGGTGCCCCTGACAAAGCACAGAGCAGCCTAGCTGCCAGGGGCTCCACATGTGATTAGCAAAGTGAGGGGCTGTCCTGGGTACAGCTGGCTGTCATAGGGACATCATTCAGGGCAGTCTCAATACCCCAAGAGCACAAATAACTGACCCAGCCCTAAACTGCGATTAGTAGGATTGCCATGTAAGGCTGGCGGTGGCCCCAGTGGTGGACGGGCCATGGGATTCTGACCCAGCAAGACGGCCATTGTGGGCATGGGCTGAGAGGGCTCTCCTGACTCAGTTTTCCGCCTGGCTGGGCTGGCCTTTCTGTCCATACACTTGACTGCCCACGTGACTCACCAAGCTGCGGACATTTTAGAATGGGCATGTCAGCTAGCACCTCATGGAGGAATCAACATTATGCTCTATCAGTTCTCTCATGATCAGCGCTGCCCACCCTCCTTCCCTTTCCCATCTCTGAGTCCAGCTCAAAAGATCTCTCCTCAGTGGTCTGGCACAGGGCCTCCCAGTGTGGGAGAGCATGGATCTTGATGAGTTACCAGCCAGGGAGGGTCCCCGGGAGGGTCCACCCACCTCTCTGTGGGTCTGCCCGCAGGGGCTGCTCCTCACCCCACCTCACACCCCAAGGCAGCCCGTTCTGGGTTCCCTGACAGGACGGGCCCAGGCGAGAGACATGCGCTACCCACCACACCAAGCTCGTTCACGCTTTATTTAACTGACCAGAGATAGGAAAGAGGGCTGCGCCTCCAAACAAGAAATCAACTGGCTTCCATTTCCTAGCTCCCCAGCCGGACATCGCTGGGCCCATCGCATCTCCCAGTGAGGGGCGGGGGCAGGCAGAGGCGGCGTGGACAGTTCCCAGCCCGAGTGCCCTCCAGCCAAGGGCAGGGCACTTCCGGAAGCCAGTCGAGGCCTGCCCAGTTCAGAGTGGCAAGGGCCCTTGGCAAAGTTCTGCCTACGCCACTTGACCCCAGGCCCCGAGGACTCAGCATGACTATTGAGCCAAGTCTTGGGGTACAAAGAAGTGTGACTTCCCGAGGGTCCCCCCCAGGGCTTCTTTGGGCACACTGAGGAAGCCCCTCCTCCCTGTGGCCCCTGAAGCCCTTCTCTTTCTAGTTCACAAAACGAACAACTTTTCTGTCTAAGGCATCTGTGCCACAAGGGCCCTCCCCCAAGGCAAGGGTCTCTAGCTTCCTCATTCTTGGCACCATGGGGGTGGGGTCACAAGGCAGTTCTTCCATCTCCCCCCACCCCCCTTCACAAACAGGGAGGCCAGCTTTGGACTTTATCCCTGAGGTAGTTGTCCCTGGGTCCTTTCCAAGTATACCTGAAATGTAAAAATGTCAATCTCGAGTGGTTCCATGCACAGAGGCCCCACCCCGCCCCACCCCTCCGGGCTCTCAGTGTCTGAGTGGGGGTCCTGGGGCCAGCACTGGCTGCTGAGAGGCTGGTTTTTCAGGTGCAGGTCTTGGGGGTGTGTGGGATCTCAGGATCCTCCAGAGTCATCTGTCAAAGACACAGCAAACATGTGACTCAGAAGCCAGGCCGGCCCGGCCCCCAGGGAGGCCCCGCTCAGCCTGCCACAGAACACACACCTGGATCTGACTGCCGGGTTCTTTTGGGAACATCGAGGCCATACTCTCCCAGCTTCCTCTTGGCACAGTCCTGGCAGGCGTTTCCTGGGGGCACAGATACAGACCCCAGCCATGAGGAGAGCCGTGGGGGCCCAGACCCCTAAACGTTGCTGTGGACAGCTTCCGGGGGTTCAGGGGTACCCCTAGTGCTGGGCCCCTCACAGAGTGACCATCAAAGGGGCTTTGGCCATTCCCACAGATTCTCCGCTCCCCCCCCCCAAGACCAGAGGGATGGTCTTTACCTAAAAGCGTTGTACTGTCCACTCGGTCAGCATCTACAAGTGAGAAAAAACATCCCGTGAACCCCACAGAGATGCAGCCAACACACACGGGGCCTGGACAACAGTGGCCCGGCCACTCCAGCCATCCCAGCCCAGCCATCTCCTCTCTCATGGAGGAAGCCCGAGGCAAGAGATCAGCTAGAATTTATCACGTGCCTGCTGTATCCGGGCAGATGTATGACTAAGTGGATGGAAGCAGCCCCCTGCCCAGAGCCTCCACTCAGAAATGGGTGCCACCTTCTACTGTCTACCCTCCTGCTTCCATATGCTGGGGTCCCCGGCAGTGTCCACGCCTGTCTCCCCTCGAGCCCCGGGGGCCCCAGAGCCCCTCTGATTCTCCTCTCAGTGACTCTGTTCACCTTGGACCAGGGCTGTTTAGACTGTAACTGCCTAGAACCCAGCCTGGGGGTGGAGCATCTGTGGCCTCCAGGCCACACGTGGCCCTCTAGATCCTTAGGTGTGGCCTTTTGACTGAGTCCAAGTTTTACGGAACAAATCCTTTTACGAAGGGGATTTGTTGGTGAAGTTTGGGTTCAGTCAAAGGGCTGCACTTGAGGCCCTAAAGGCCCATGTAGCCTCGAATTCCCCAGCCCAAGGACTGGCACACACTAAGGACTTAATGAATGCTCGCTGAATTGAATTTATGGTGAAGCTGTCATGGATCCACTTTGCTTACAATTCTGATTTGCTTTGTTTCAATAGGGAAGGCTCTACCCGTCATCAGCAGACTTTTCCCACCCTCCTCGCCCCCGGGTAGGCTGATTCCAGGGGGCCCACAGCCTTTGAGCCCCCAGGTCTTCATGACCATACCCTTAAGCCCCTGGCTTTCACAGAGACAAAGACATATCCTCCGAGTGCACCTGGACTTCGCTGTTTGCAGATCTGGGCAGCAAGGTCTTGCACATACTCTGGAAAGTAGTCAAAGCAATCCCCGTAGGAGACAACTTTAATGCCATGCAGAAGCATGTCAGCCTGGTGTTTGAAGAAATGGTCTTCGTTCTCCTTGAGCACCACCATGAAGTGCTCCAAATCTACCTTGTCCTGCACAGAGTACAGGAAAAGGGCCTGGAATATCTGGTCCCTCAGCGTCTCGCCACAGCCCACAAAAACAAAGGACTTGGTCCGGTACAGGTTCTGTAGAACTTCCTAGGAGGACACAGAAGCAGCGAGAGCTTGTGCCTGCCCTCCTTACTGCTTCCAGGACCAACGGTAATGCCACGCTTGCTGTTTAAAGCCCTTCATAACCTAATAATCTGCCTGGCTGTCCCTCTGGCCTGGCAGGCTCTACCTCCACTGCTGACCACTCACCTCCCTGGCTTTCTTCCAGTCCCAACTAAAATCACTCCTCCCACAGAAAGCCTTCCCCACCCCCTCTTCATTCCAGGGCCTTCCCTCTTCTCACTATTTCCTATTTATCAGTATTTAGCTTGCTTTGTAGATATTTCATGTCATCTCCCCCACTGGACTGTAAGCTGCTTGAAGGCAGGTGCCATCATTTGCCTCTTTTTGTATGCCCAGTACTTAGCAGAGTGCCAGGCACAGAGAAGGCTTAATAAATGTTTACTGAATGGAGGAATGGATGAGGCAGACAGAGCCATGCTGGCTGCCAGGCTGGCTAAACCAAGCAACAGGCCTTTTCTTGGAGCCCTGACACGCCTCTGCCCTTTACACCTCCCCTCAAACCCAGGGACTCACGTCTGTCTTCTCGGTTAAATGAGCGCCAAGGCCACTTGGAGCTTTAAGCTGCTACAATTTGGCAACCAGAAAACTTGGAAATTGTGTCATTGTGTATTAAATGCTGTATGTACTCATTAGCTCCCCCAATGGAAGGTGATGCCTCCTGAAGAGGGATCAGGCTATTTCCTGGTTCTTGTAGCACAGTGCCTGGCACACAGTGGGCACTTTAGAAATGCCTGCAAACTCTGTTATTTGTAAAGCCATGCAATCTGGCTTTCACTATTCAGGGGCGGGCTCAAGTCATCCAAAGCTAATTAGCTTTGTTATGCTCATCCCTAAAACACACTCCAAAGACATATTCATTTAACAAATCTCTAGGACCTTCCTGAGTGCAGACTCTTGGCAGAGTTTTCATTTTCCTGTTTTTCAGAATCTTAAGGATTTGGAGGAGGAGAACTCGCGAAGGAGCAAAAGGCTTGGGGCAGCTAGGTGGTGCAGTGGATAGAGCACTGGTCCTGGATTCAGGAGGACCTGAATTCAAATTTGGCCTCAGATACACAACACTTACTAACTGTGTGACCCTGGGCAAGTCACTTAACCCCGCTGCCTAGCCGAAAAAAGAAAAAAAGAAAAAGGCTGTCAGAGACAATCCCACCAGAAAGGCCTTTTTCCAGATCTAGGAGTGGCTCAGACATGGCCAAGGCCCTGCCAAACACAGCAACACTGCAGTTCCCATGGCACGTGGCTTAAAAATCTTCAAAGTCCTCAAATTTAAATTTAGAAAAAACACATTGAGCAAAGAAGTGAAAATATACTTGGGTAGAGGTGAAAGTTAGCTAAGTGGGGGAGAAACACAAAGGAGTGAAGAATGGGCCAGGAAGTACCAGGCAGCAGGTTACCTGCCAACCCCAAACCTCTTTATAACTCACAAGCAGGCCATCCAAACCAGTCCCGTGGAAACACTGTGCTGTGGGGCAGAAATCACAGGAGCAGGAGGCTGGGGCTTCAGGGGGGCTCGATGGACGCTGGGGGGGGGGGGTCCTGAGAAAAGCCAGCAGGGCGGCGCCCGAGCCCAGCCGCTAAACCACCATCCCTCAGCTATTTCCTGGGGTGCAGGCCCTTGTGCTGCTGCGGCCTGGCTTGGCCAGCCTAGGAGGACCCAGATGGGCCCAGGCTTCCTCTGAGCAGCCAGCTGAACACACAAATGCTGCCCACCGCTGCTTTACTTTCCATGTCCCCAGTGTCCAGCTGGGAAGCCCCCATGTTCTTCTGTCCTTCCATGCTGGGCCTGGGCTCCAAGGTGGGGGTGGAGGGAATGGGAGAAAAGAGCAAGGAATGAGGGAGTTCTCAGCACCCTAAGCTGGCCCAGGCTTTGGAGGGGACTTGGAAGCTTTCACCCCTTCTGGGTGACCCAAAGCTAAAGGCTCAGCAGGGGACAGTGCCCTTAGAGAGCCCTTTCATTTTACAGACAGGGAAACTGAGGCCTAGACAAGCAAAAGGCCTCTCCCAATGTCACCCAAGAAGTAACACCAGCAGAGCTAGAATGGGAAGCCAGTGCTTTGACGCATGGACAAGCCCCATGGACAGCGCTAATGGGCTAACACAAGTACCAGGCTGGAGCCGCCTATGGTGCGGACAGCAAGAGAGGGCCTTTCCTACCATTACTTCTGGGTCCTGAGTCACATCTTTATATCCCGAAGGGTCCAAGACCATGCCACAGGGATCTGTGTATAAGCCGTGAATGTGAAGGACTCCATACTTCATGTGCCCTCTGGCCCACTGCAGAACCTGCCAAAACAAGTCCAGGCCGACTCAGAACAGAAACCCCCAGGGATCCCACCAGAACCCAAACTCCTCTTCTGTCCTGACCCTCGACTTGAAGGGAAGCCCACTGAAGGATGCTCTCAGGGTGGCCACGGCTACCCCGGTATCCCAGACCTCCGAGACTTCGCATGAACAAGCACGCTCCCCACAGTGTCTCCCCCAAGGAGATCCCACCTCCCAACAACATGCCTCCTGGGGTCAGGGGCTCTGAGCTCTCCCTTTGGGGACCAACTTGTGGAATCGGCAGGGGCACGAGGGATTTCAATCCCCTCATCTGACAGCCCTAACAGCGCCCATTTATGTCAGACTTTAAGGTTCACAAAGCAAGTGGCCGACACCATTGAGCCCTCGGCACAAATCCGGCCTCAGCCATGGGACCGGAGCAAGTCACTTACCCATTCTGTGCCTCAGTTTCCTCTCTTGAGTCAGAGGCCTACTTCAGGGGAGCCAGCAAGCCTAAGTAGCTACTTGACAAACAGACATCTCCCTAACCCCTACAGACATGGAGCTGAGAGGGCCAGAGTGAAGCAAGCAGCCAGTGAGCTGTCCAGCACTAGATATGGGCCCAAGGCAGAAGGCCACGGCACCCTCCATGTGAACCATCCCTGAGACTCTCCAATTTATCCTGTGTGGGGCTGCTGGCACGCTGTCTCTCCCCACAGACTGGAAGCTTCCTGAGGACAAGGCCCGTTTTGGCCTTTCTTGGCATTCCCAGTGCCTAGCATAAGGCAGCACATACTACAGCACCTTCGATAAAAGCTTGTTGACTGGACCTGACCACAAGGATTCCCAATTCCCTAGGAGAAGGCAACACACCACCACCATTTGTGGCAAATCTTTTTTCTCAGTTGTTTCTCCCCACATTTCGTGTCACAGTTTAGACCAGGGGTGGGGAGCCCGCGGCCTCAAGGCCACATGGGGCCTTCGGAGGTCCTTGGGAGCGGCCTTTGGACGAGTCCAAGTTTTACAGAACGCATCCTTTTATGAAGGGGATCTGTTCTGTGGAGTTTGGATTTAGTCCAAGGGCCGCACCTGAGGACCCAGAGGGCCACATGTGGCCTCAAGGCCGTAGGCTCTCCACCCTGGTATATACTCAGTCTACAGTTTCTTTGCTAAATTGTTTTTTAAATATACACATTAATGACTGAAGACCTCTGGATTTCATAGTCTTGTACAGGCAAGAACAGAAGGGAACCAAAAATACTGGCTGGCCCAAGGAGGGGGAAAAGAAGGCTCTTGGGAAACATGTTCCTAACTGGGGGTGGAGGGACTGGATATTATGGCTCAAGACCTTGCATGACTTTGCACTCTCTGGTGACAGCAGAAGTATCATTCAAGTGGGGACACCTGCTTCCTAGTCCGACTCTGCTTCTGACTAGCTCTGCCTCAGTTTCCTCCTCTGTAAAAGGCGTGCAGAAGCCCACCGGCACTGAGCCTCATTTTCTTCCCTACCTTGGTCTTATCTTTCAAATCTAAGGATTCCATTGGCTTGTTCTGCTGCTGGCCAAAGATCTCCAGCAGGTTGTCATAGTTGGTGGTGAGGACCATGGTTCCCCGCTCCATCAGGCTGAGGATAGACTGCAGCACCATCGGGTTCTGGATGTGCTGCTCCAGATTGTCAAAGACTTCCATTAAACAGTCCTGGAAGAAGTTGGGCTTGGTGTCACCTGTGCGCTGTGGAGGCAAAACCACGCCACTCTGTGACTCAGCACGCACAGCCACGGCCCTCCCCTTCCAGGCCATCCGGGGCCAGCTGACTGATGCTGGGTTACACTCAGTAGAGAGCCTCTGTGATCCCACAGCAGGCCAGGAACAGCAAGCTGGCATTTGGGGTTAGGGAGGCGGGGCAGCTACTGCGAGCCTGACTGCACAGCTGAGGCCCAGGGAGCAGCACAGCTCGAATTCCAGCTCCTGTTCCCCAACCCCCCTCAAAAGGGTTTTGCTTTTGAAGCATTTTATTCACTGTGAGGGGCAGCCTCACACAGCGCCCACAGAGGAGGTCAGAGAGTACAGGAGACCAGGGCTCGCATCCCCTCTGACCCTGGACAAATCACTGATCCTCTCGATGCCCCAAATGCCTAAGACTATGCTGCTGACCTGCATCCATAAAGTAAGCTTTACTGAGAGTTCCCTAAAAACCTGGCCCCGGTCCCAGGCCAGCCTGCAGTCCTGACCCTGAGGAGGAAAACCAGAAATGCCTCCACGAGGAACGGGACGGAGGGTAGGAGGAGGGGACACACCACGCACTGGCTGCTGGGCACTTTACACATGCCCTCTCACCAGAGGCCCAACAGACCCTCCCATGCCAGAACCTCACCGGCGACATCTTTCGGATTAGGTCGTGGGCGACCACAAGCAGGTCTCTGTCTTTCATCACTTTCTTCCGGAATTCCGCAACGTCTCCCGGATGCAGGACCTCCAGCTGCTCGGCCGCTTCCAGGACTGCTTCGATGCAGCTCCTCCAGGAGCAGAGGGCACGGATGCCAGGGGCCACTGCGGCACTGACGCCCGTCCCAATGACCAGCAGGAGGTCATGGGGCTGCTTCCTTATTAGACTTTTTAAAAACTTCCTGGAGGGAAAGGAAGAAGCCGGGACAAGAGTCAGAGGCCAGCCTATGTGATAACTGAGGCAAACTACAGCCTCATCGTCCCTCCCTCACACTGGGGGCGCTGGGCACCTTGGCTCCCCCTCAATCGTGAGGTCCACATTGGGCAGGGACCAAAGCTTTCTCCTTGCCAGCCCCACTCCTGGCACCGCCATATCTCTAAGAGGCAGCTGAGAGTTTGGTGAAAGAAGGGTGACAAAACCAGTGGGCGCAATCGCTGAGCCTGAAACACCTGATACAAACGGGCCATGCTGACCAAAGGAGCCTCCCTCACAAGGATCCTGTCAAAAAGCCAGGGGCAGCATCCTGCCATGCCTTCCCTCCTTTGCTCACCCCTTCTGCCCCGTTCACTGAGTCACACATGAGGCCTCCTCTCTCTGGGCCTCATGGGAGGCGGAAGGAAGGGCCAGCGGGCTCACCGGCCTCTCTGGCACAGTGACTCACCAGGAATATCTGCATTTCCCAAAACCAACAGTAGCTGAAGGCAAGTACTACCTGGCAATGACATGGCAATGACAACTGCTTCTTACCACGGAATGAGGGTCTGGGCCTCCCTGAGGGCCACAACAAGGCCTCTTGTCTCTCACCTGGATTTCTGTTCACTTCTAGTGGTTGTCTTTTCTGCTGAATCCATCTGTAAATCCTGCAAAAAAGAAAAATCTATGAGCGGCTCAGCTGATTTCAGTCCTCACACTGGAAGGCTCCACAAATGAGTCCGAGTGGTTAAAAGTAACAAACAGGTCTTCATTAAATGCATGGCCTCAAAGTATGTCTCAGGTGCTAAGCTCAGAGCCTGGAGGGGCGGTGCCAGCAGCTCCAGCTGCACTGAATGCCACAAAAGAGGTTTTCAAGCCAGGCCTGAAGGCCCTGGAAAAGAGGAAGGGGAGCACGCTGCTGACCTCAAGTGTGCCACGGGCTGTGCTGTGGCCGCGAAGGTCTCATGCTGCTTGGCCTCAGAAACAGAGCCAGAGGTACCAGTAACAGCGGCAGACTCCAGGTCCAGGCCAGCAGTGGCAACCTGCCAACAACATGTGGCGCTCCCATAGGACAGAAGGAGAGTGCCTGCCAGGGAACGCCGCAAGAAGGGGCTCCTGCTCCACTTCTAGACTGGGCTAGGGAATGTCTCAGGGTTCCTGCTGTAATGTCCCCCGACGGTCACCAGCCCCTAGCTATCGCCCCCCAATCTTCTCATCCCTATCTCCCACGGAGACAAGGTCAGGGCTATAAGCTCAGCTTAATGTGACAAGCTTTTGGCTAGGCCAGGGAAGCACAAATGAAGACAGTCCCATCCTGCCACACAGCTTGTTTCCCCTTGTTTAATGTTACTTTTTACAATTCCATGTAAAGACAGCTTTCCCTCTCCCCGAGATGGCCAGCAGTCTGATCTAAGCTATACCTGCACAAACACGTTAAGCATGTTTTCCACATTAGTCATGTTGTAAGGAAGAATTAGAACCAATAGGAAGAACCACCAGAAAGAAGAAACAGGAGAGAAAAAAAAGGGCCAACAGTCTGTGCAATCTGCCTTCAGCCTGCATGGTTCTTTCTCGGGGTGTGGACAGCACTTTCTATCAGGAGGCCTCTGGCAATGTCTCAGATCCTTGTCCTGGGGGCAAGGGCTGAGTCTACCAAAGGTGATCATTGCTACAATGTTGCTGTCACTGTGTACATCGCTCTCCTGGTTCTGCTCACTGCACTCTGCATCAGTCCATACAAGTCTTTCCAGGCTTTTCTGAAGTCTGCCTGCTTCTCATTTCTTACAGCACAGTATTACTCCATCACATTCATATCCTGCCGGGTTCAGCACCCCCAGTTTCCAGTTCTGGGCCCCACAGAAGGAGCTGCTACAAGCAGTTCTGTACACGTGGGCCCCTCCCCTTTTGTCATCCCTTTGGGGTCCGGCCCCAGCAGCGCCGTCCTGGCGCAGAAGGAGGAGGAGGGGCAGAGAAGGCTGGACGGCCTCGGGGCGGGTGACCCCAACACGGCAGGACCGAGGCCCAGGGCGGGGGCCCCTCCTCTGCCCCTCCCCACGGCCTTGGAGCAGATGCTGAGACCCCTGGGGCCTGGGGGGACCTCAGCCTGGCCCTACCTCCGACAGCGCCCAAGAGACGGCTCGAGAGGCTGGGCGGGGGGGGGAGATAGGAGCCAGGGCCGGCCGTCCCCCACCCCCGGACCTGCCTGGCCTCGCGCTAGGCGGGGCTAGGCCCCGGGAACCGCTGAGGCCCCCCACGCCCCCTCAGGGGCTCTTCCAGCCTCTCCACCCTTCCCTTCCCGGGCGCCCCCGCCCAGCCCCGCTGACAAGGCGGCCGTGTCCGCAGAGCCGCCCCCTCCGCCAGATGGGTAAACTGAGGCCCCCGGCGCACCACCTGATGGGACATGGGGAGGGGAGGAGGGGCGGCCAGGACCCCCCGCCCCGCCTTTGCGGCCTGCCTCAGTTTCCCCCCTAGAAAATGGGGTCAATAACAGCACTTCCGTGGGGGAGGGACATAAGACGCCCCCCCTACGATGGGGAAGGGGATACGCGGGGTCAGGAGTCTCTGTGACGAAGAGGAAGGTGCTCACTCACCAGGGGTAGGCGCTCGCAGGGCCCGGCAGGCGGCCCCCTCAGCTCTTGGGGCAGTGGCGGCGGGCAGCTCCCCCTCCTCCTCCTCCTTCTGCTGGGGTCGGCAATTCAGGCCCCGCATCCGCCGCCTCCGGCCGGGGGAGGGGGTGGGGTGGGGGCGGGGGCGGAGGCGGTGCGCGCCGCTCAGGGCCCTGCGCAGGCGCACTCCTCCGCGAGGGGGCCGAGGCGCGCGCCCGGAGACCACCACGCGCAGGCGCGACCCTCTCTCGCAAAAGAGACCGTTAGGCGGGGAAGGCGGTCTCGCGGTCACTATGACGCGCAGGCGCGGACTCCGAGCTAAAGCGGAGAGGGGCGCGGAAGACAGGAAAAGGAAGGAGAAGAAGAGATGCACTCGCGCGCACTCGCAACGACCGGCCAGGAAATCGTTAGCCGGCACAGGCACGCGCTCATTTATTCGGCACTCCCGCCCGCGCGCAAGCGCGGGACGACGTTCCCGGCGTCCCTCCCTCCGGCGCAGGCGCGACCGGAATGCAGGTCGGCCCTCGGAAGTTGAGGTGGGAAGTGGAACAGCCTCGACAAACACTCGCCGGCTGGTGCTCTCACCAAGTCTTCCGGCCGGACTCTCGCTCCACGCGCCGGAAAGTTCCGGCCACCCCCAGCGCGCCCAACCACTGACTTTAAATTCACACCACGTCCCCGCAGACTCGCGCGCGCTGCCACAATCACTGACACGCAGTGTGGGGCAGTGGAAACCACTCTGCCTTCGAGGGGCTTCTACTCTAAGTGGGGACCGAGGCCCGGGGAGGGAGAGGGTGTGGAATCAGCCCCAGCAGGTGGGGGTTGAGCCGGAGTGGGCAAGGGACGGCCCTCCTGGCAGGAGACACGGTCAGGGCTAGGGCCCCGAGGTGGGAGACGGAGGGCTGCACTGGCCAGGCTGAGGACCCAAGTCGTCATGGTCAGGGAGCTCCAGGAGCCCAGCATCCTCCGCTCTGGCCCCCCTCCCCTTGATGAACCTCCTTGGCTTTGCTTTCCCAGCTGCACCTGCTCCGTCCAGCTGGGGATCCCCCCGGGCTGCCCCACGGAGCTGTCCAGCAGGCCTCTGGCCATGACTGAGTGCAGCTCAGCTAGGCGCAGGGGAGGAAGGGAAGCAGGGCTCAGTCAGCGCCTCCTATGTGCCCAACACGGTGCTGAGCCCTTTCCAAATCCTGCCAGCTTGGTGCTGCTGTTACGCCCATTTGACAGATGAGGAAACTGAGGCAGAGAGCAGTTCAGTGACTTGCCCAGGGTCCCACAGCTGGGAGGGTCTGCGTCTGGATTTGCACTCAGGTCTTCCTGACTCAGGCCCATGCCTTTCAGCATTTTGGGAGTCATTAGAATAGAAAGGGGAGCGCTCCAGGCAAAGGCTCAGAGGTGGGAGAGGGAGCTTCCCCTCATCAGACCACACGGCCCAGTGTGGGTTCTCAGTGATGCTGAGTGGAGGAGAGCCCACCTGGGAATCAGGAAGGCCTGGGTTCGAGTTTTTCCCAGTGGCTTTGTGCAGGTCACATAACTCTGCCCAGACTGTCAGATCAGCCTTAGTGGGGGAGGGTTCCCTGTCCCATGTGTCCCTTCACAACCCAAGAGAGGAGGAAAGTTCCAGGCAGAGCCTTGGGGAGCACCCACACAATGGGGGGACCATGTCATCACCAGGTCGCTTCTAACAATTCTGTGACTCGGTTCATCCATGACTGCTTCCCCCCTCCACAACTCATTTTAAACACTAGACGAAATGGGGTTGGCAGACGAGTAGTGACTTCCCCAAGGCCAGGCGTTCCCCTAGGACCAAGGCGTTCTGGCCCTTTCCCCAGCAGCGGGCTACCCTCTCTCATCATCTCACCTCCATCACTGTGGCACCTTGCTCCCGGCTCCTGGGGGGACATCACCAGTAGAGGCTGAGAGCCCAGAGACCATCGGTGGCCACCCTAGGTCATCAGAGCGTCCAGGCAGGGGACAGACTGAAAGCCGGGCCTCTGATGCCAGGAGGCCACAGGGGAAACAGGGATCGGTGCACTGCCAGACCCCCCCCCGTGGACCCCGTTCTGCTCCCAAGGGTCTGAGATCCAGTGGGGGCAGGGGAGGGCCAGAAAGGCCACAGGACAGCAGGCATCTAAGGCCCTCATCCAACTCAGAGCCCAGGGTCAGGCAGAGAAAGGGCATCCTCTGGCCGATGCTGGGCTGAATGCCAGCTCTCTCTGCTGAGAAGCTTTTCCTGTCTGCCTGCTCTCCCTTGGGCTCCTTTCCATCTCACTCCCTGGCTGGTCCCCAAACTCTCCATGTGTGCCATCTCCAGCCACCATGCGTGCCCACCAGGCTATCTGCCCGCCAGGCATGCCCTCCCTGTTACCTGCTCCTCCCATTGCTGAAGCCCCAGACTGTAGCTCCCTCCCTGACAAAGGGGAGCAGCAGGAGGCTGGGGGCTGTCTGGCTTCCCTTCCCCTCTGGATGGCTCTCACACACATTAGGGCTGCATAAATGTTTCCTGATTTGAACAGAAGCCCAGCCACATCCCTCATTATCCAGATAAGAAAGCTGAGGCCAAGGTGGGAAGTGAAAAGGGACATTTGAACTCAGCTCCTATCTGGGACTGCAAGCTCAGCTCTTTTCCTGAGGCCTGGGGTGCCTTTACCCAAGGTACTCGTCCTAGGAAGACATAGTCAGTCCCTTCTGGGGCAGAAGCCCCCCAGGGCAGAGAGAGCTAATGATCAAAGCCAGCTCCCCTTGACCCAATGAAACAAGCCAGGCTGAATGGGGCCTGGGTGCAGGGTCATTCGGGGGCCTGTGGAGACTGGAAGGTCAGAGGGATTCTGGAAGCTCACTGCCTGCTCCAGGCACTGGTGCCCACCTGCATCTGCCCTAGCTTCTGTGCTCAGCTGGGCAAGGCTGCCCCCATACACCTGAGGCCGGGAGATGTGGAGTCTCAGGCTCAAGGGGGGAGAGAAGGTCCTTCATGCACTCCCACCCTTCTGTCAGGCCCTTCTCTCTGACCTGGAACCGCAGAGTGGGCTCTCCTCCAGGGCATCATTGCTGGAGACCTAGTGGGCATTGGCCCCTCTCTCTGCCCAGTTTCTGCTCACAGCCAGGCTCCCTCACAGTCACTGCCCTGCTCCTCCAGCAGAGGTGGGAAGGAGGGGAAGGGGGGAATGCTGCTGCCCAGGGAGGGGGGCTGGTGGCAACCCTGATACCTCCCGGAACCCAGGCAGGTCCTGGAGAGGAGGGAAGAGGGTCAGAATACCCTTGAAGAGAAATGGGAGGTCCAGGGCCCTGGCCACTGGGAAGATGCTGTAGGGGATAGAGGCACAAGGTATCTTTCTCCTAGAAGCAAAGGACCCACAAATGTCCGTTGCCCCATGGGCGGCTTCTGGGCTACACTGCTGACCATGTTGGCTCCCATCTGCTGGTGGTCTGTGGAATTGCAGCTGCTCTGTCCTCTCTGTAGGGTTTAGGGTCTTTCCCATTTGGGGCTCCTCCTTTCCTCAGCTGAGGCTCCTGCCCAAGACCTGAAGGGCCAGTACTCATGCTCCAAGTCCAAGGTCCGAGGAAACATCCCGCATCCTTCCCTGGGCTTCTGAAATCCCACTACTGAAGACCAGCTCTGAGGTCACCCCCACCCAACCTCATGCTGCCTGTTCCTGGAATCTGTGGCACCTCTCACACAAATGCGAAAGGCATCCCATGTCCCTCAGTCAGTGCAAACGCACAGAGTGCCCCACGATCTTTGGACAGCAAGGCCTCCACAGTTGGTGGTGCTGCAACCAAAGACGCCGTATGAACTCTGGAATCAATGGGGAGTGCCAGCAGTCATGTGGGTCTTGGGGTCAGGAAGCCCTGGCCGCTCACTCTGTGCTTTTTCTTGAGTCAGAAGGAACTTCTGTGGCCAGCTAACATGACCCTTCACAAAGTCCATTCCCTTCTGGGTTCTGAAAATCGGGAATTTTGCCTCCAGGACAGGAGTCTGAAGTGCTATTCTCTGAGGTCTTTTAAAAACCACCTCATCTGCTCACCCTGGTCCCTATTCACGAACAAGTCAAGACATCACCCTGTGGTGTGACAACAGCTGAGCCCCCACGTTCTTCCAGATCTGAGGAACTTGGCTTATCCAGGACACTGCCAGGACAACATAAAATGGGGTTATTCCAGGATGGGTTGTCCACCCTAGCCCTGTTTCACCCTGGCTTGGCACTGTCCAAACAGCTCCAGGCCCAGGGCTTCCACTCATCCTCTTCTTGGTGCCTGTCTGCTCCAAGAGGGCTGTTTTATGGAAAAACCATAAAATAGATAAACCTTTGGTTAATTTAATTTAAAAAAAGAAAGAAGAAAACCAAATTAACATTATCAAAAATGAAAAGGGTTAATCCACCACCAAGGAAGAGGAAATTAAAACAATAATTAGGAACTATTTTGCCCAACTGAATGCCAGTAAATTTGAAAATCTTAGTGAAATGGATAGATATTATAAATTGCCCAGATCAATAGAAGAGGAAGTAAAGTACTTAAATAACTCCATCTCAGAAAAAAAAAATTGAACAAGTCATCAATGAACTCCCTAGGAAAAAGTCTCCAAGGCCAGGTGGATTTACAAGTGAATTTTATCAAACATTTAAAAAACAATTCCAATACTATATAGACTATTTGGGAAAATAGGCAAAGAAGGAGTCTTACCAAATTCTTTTTATGATACAAATATGGTACTGATACTTAAACTGGGAACAATCCAAACAGAGAAAGAAAATTATAGACCAATTTTAATAATGAATATAGATGAAAAATTTTAAATAAAATATTAGCAAATAGATTACAGCAACTTATCACAAGAATAATACATGATGACCATGGAGGATTTATATCAGGAGCGCAGGGCTGGTTCAATATTTGGAAAACTATCAGCATCATTGAACATAACAACAAAACTAAAGGCAATGGTCATCTCAATAGATACAGAAAAAGCTTTTGACAAAATACAACACCCATTCTTATTAAAAACACTAGAGAGCATAGGAATAAATGGAGTCTTCCTTAAAATGAATAAGCAGCATCTACCTAAAACCTTCAGCAAGCATCATATGTAATGAGGATAAGCTAGAAGCATTTCCAGTAACATT